AAATCACGAGGGTTTGACTTGGCAGTCTATGTTTGTTGGGTTTTAAGGTAAAATTATTATTATACGAGAAATGTGCAATTAAGAATATGATAGACCCTTACATGTTAATGAAACAAACCCTGGCGTGTGTGGGGATTCAAATTAGATTAGAGGTACAGGCTTCAGAACGAAAGGAGTTTAAGATTTTTTTTGCAAGGGAATTTTAAAATGTCACATTAAATTATTATTTTATACATATAACTCTTAGTACTCGTATGAATATTTTATTGATAGAATGGGTTTGATATTTATGATACATGGATGATAATAATAATAATGTATTAATATTAAAATAGTTAATGTTATGATTCTATTCATATTTGTATTTATTATTTATATATTCATTGTAAATGGAAGATTTTGAGTAGTCAAATCATTAGGCCTGTCTAACTATTATATCACATTTTCTAAAAGATAGTTACTATTTCTACAAAAATTATAAAAAACAAGATTTCGATTAGTTAAATCAAGGGGTTTGCTTGTCTAACTATGGGATATATCATTCTTTAAAAGATATTAGTTAAAATGTCCTTTCAATATAAAATTATTAGTATGAATCAGTAGATTAAAATATTCATTATAAAGTTTTAAAAAAAACTATTAAAAATAAATAATGTAAGAAATAAACGTATGGTATCAAATTTGAATGAGTTTTGTAAATAAAGTTTTAAAAAAAACTATTAAAAATAAATAATGTAAGAAATAAACGTATGGTATCAAATTTGAATGAGTTTTGTAATCAATATTACAATTCATCAAAAAATCATTCATATATAAAGCCAATAGTATAGCCAAAAAAATTTAATATAAGTGTACGATGTTTAAGGGATATTTACAAAACTTTAAATTTATTGAATACGGTAATTTATTATTGTTGTTAAAAAGCCCGATAGATCGATTTTTCAAAATTAATCAAGATTTTTAAGCTAAAATAATATAATGTAAGCAAGTTATATTTGAATATGCTATTATGTAAAAACATGAATTATTATAGAAAAATTGATTTAAATTAGTTATAGATTCAATTGATTAGAGAAAATATTAGATCGTTTAATTTATATCCAAAAAGTTCAGGAAACAATTGAATTCCAAAAATATTATAATTAAGCTTTTAATTTTAAGTAACGTTTGCTCATGACTGTTAATATGATAACCTAAAATAATAAGTTTTTAAAAAATAATGTTTAAAAAAAGGTTATTTTTTAAATAAAATTTTCGTTATTGGTTTATAAAGATTTATCTTATTTATTCTATGAATATAACTGCTATTATTACGCTTATTATATCAGTGATAAAATTTTAAACTTTGGCTTGCTTTACCTTGAGACTGCTTATATCTGTTGGAAGTATAAATTATTTCATAATTTTTTTTTAATGTTTTCTATAGTATTAACACAAAGAGCGTAAACGGTCTTTTCGCATTTTATTTTTATTAAATAATTTACACGTTTTTCGGTAAATATATCTCAATTTTTGTGTCAACAATGTTTCCAAGGCAAATAGCCAGAATAATATTTTAAAAAAATTTAAACGACTAATACCATCATTCGTAACTTTTGTTTAAATATGATGATAAATTAATGAAAATCATTTTTTAAAAGGTTATTTTATTCTTATAACATATATCAGATATTGTCTGAATTTTTTTTATTATAAGTTGAAATATTCGTTTTCATGATTAGGAAGAAATCAAGACAAGGAAAAATAAAAAGCCTAAGAAATAAATTATCAATTACAATGCACAATTAATAAGGGATAAAATTATCCATAGAAAAACAAGCCCTCAGGAAAAAAGACATATATTTAAAAAAATATTTTCGAAATAATTTGATAATCAACATTTTTCCTTCTTCCAAAGATAAAAGGCTTTTTCGTTAGATTAATAAAGCATCTATGTACCCCAATTATTAAATGTTTAAGCCTACATATTTCTTAGAGAGGTCATGATTACAAAATTAAAAAATTTTTATTATTATTAAATAAAGATTAACAATCATTTTAATTATATTTCATTTTACTCTCACCAACGTAAAATAAGTCAGATATGAATGGAATTTTTTTTTTAAAAATGAGTCTGAATTGATCGAGACCAGTGTTCGTATCCGTTAAATTGATTGGAAACGAAAACTTTTTAGAGTGCCCTATTCGCTATTAAATATAGCGACCATAAGCTGTGTATATAATTAGCACCAAAAAATAATTCCTTAAATGGAGATTTAGAAAATTTGGAGGTTAAAAGAAAATTAGCGGATTTATCTACTATTAGATTCAATTCGATTGCGAAAGTTCGATTTATGGATATTTTTCTCAATGGGAAGCCAGTTTTTGGACTGAATGTCATAATAAATATATTTTTAACATTTTTTCAATAAGAGTATTGAGTTTGATGACCGTTTTTGTTATCCTGATATGATGGAAACCTTATCTTTTAAGGATATTATGTCAATAATATGTCTTAAATCATTTAAAACAGATTATCTTTTAAGGATATTAAGTCAATAATGTGTCTTAAATCATTTAAAACAGTTGTCAACAACTTTTTGTTTAGACTGCGGAGAACAATTGGAACCATCACTGAATTTGCAGATAAGATTACAATTGGCAGCTCTTTGATATCTTGTTTACGATCAGTTTATGGTTGGCATGGAAGCACCGGGATTGGAAAGAGATCTTAGCGCTCTATATCTCGACTGTCTTGATAGAGATAATAATGTATTGACTCACCAATTTATTCTTGATCTGGTAATGGCTTCTTTGAGAGTACAAATTCAAAAATGGAAATATAAGATTAATGCTTACAAAATAGGGTTATATGACAAACTTTACCATTTAATAAAAATGGATATATTATTATATTTACTGAAGGTGATACGCCTGAAACTCATTATTTAAAACGACTGTTTACCAGATTATACAATTATGATATAATAAATAATGAATAATTCATTTCCCATAATAATCGCGCATAAAAATAAATTCTCTGATAACCTCAAAACAATACAAAAGCTCGAAAAACTTGAGTTCGCGGTGTTATTCTACGAAAAGTTTTTCTAGGAATTTTTTTTACCCCACCATTTTACCATTTTGATAAGCATGGAAGCGGTTAAAGCATCTTTAAGAACTGAGCGACCGTGAAGAACGTTTGTTTCTGACCGCAACTATCGTGTTTGGCCAATAAATCGGAATTTATTTATAATATAAATTCAGACATTTCGGATATTTGTTATCAAAATTAAAAATGATGTCATTGGTCGCTACTGGTAAAATCATAATAAATTTTTTAAAATATTATTCTGACTATTTCCCATTGTAAACATTGTTGAAACGAAAAGCGAAAATATATTTACCGAAAAACATGTAAATTATTAACAAATAAATAAAATGTGACAAGACAGTTTTTAAATGGCGCTCTATATGTTGACTCTATAGAAAACAATATAAAATTATGAAATATTTTATAATTGCCCCAGATATAGGCATGTCTCAAGGTTAAACAAGGAAAAAAAGTTTTACCACTAATATAATCAGCATTATCATAGCATTTATATTCATAGAATAAATAAGATAAAACTTTTAAACCAATAATGGAAATTTTATTTAAAAAATAACCTTTTTTTAAACATTATTTTTTAAAAACTTATTATTTTAGGTTATCGTATTAACAGTCATGAGCAAACGTTACTTAAAATTAAAAGCTTAATTATAATATTTTTGGAATTCAATTGTTTCCTGAACTTTTTGGATATATATTAAACGATCTAATATTTTCTTTAATCAATTGAATCTATAACTAATTTAAATCAATTTTTCTATAATAATTCATGTTTTTACATAATCGCATATTCAAATACTTATTTGCCAATCTGGATGCTTACATTATATTATTTTAGCTTAAAAATCTTGATTAATTTTGAAAAATCGATCTATCGGGCTTTTTAACAACAATAATAAATTACCGTATTCAATAAATTTAAAGTTTTGTAAATATCTCTTAAACATCGTAATTCACTTATATTAAATTTTTTTGGCTATACTATTGGCTTTGTATATGAATGATTTTTTGATGAATTGTAATATTGATTACAAAACTCATTAAAATTTGATACCATACGTTTATTTCTTACATTATTTATTTTTAATAGTTTTTTTTTAAACTTTATATTGAATATTTTAATCTACTGATTCATACTAATAATTTTATATTGGAAGGGCATTTTAACTAATATCTTTTAAAGAATGATATATCCCATAGTT